GAAACAATTGGGGAAATAGTATTGTACAAAGAGGCATGTTTAATTAGTAACCTCATGACATAAGATCCTCTGGAGGAAATATGATCATAGTAAATTTAATTTATATCAAATTTTAAAACAACATGCTCTGGCAACAAACACGGATGAGACTGATCATGTGTCCCCATAATATTAGATTTACAGTGAGACAGAATAAATCAAGATTCTTGAGTAGATTTGTAGCTCAGGTTGTGAATGCTATGGTTGGTTTGCTCGCCGAGCTGGTTCGTTAGTTTGCAGACATCTCATTACCCTGCTGGGTAAATCATCAGTGCAGCCTCCGATGAAGCGTTGTTGTATTTTCCGGTTTGTTATTTAAACTCTGGCGCCTGTTGGAGTTGATTATCTCACTTCCAGCTTTTCTTTGCAGTGATATGTACATAGGGTCTAGTTCGATGTATTTATTGATGGCCTTCTTGATGGAGAACCAGTCCTCTAGAAATTCCCGTGTTTGTCTCTGTTTGGCTTGTCCTAGGATCCTAACCTTGTCACAATCGGACTGGTGGTTATTGTTCTCTGTGTGTATAGAGAGAAATGAGCATTGGTCATGTCTTTTTGTTGCTAGTTGGTGTTCTTGTATTCTCGCAGCCAGTTTCCTTCCTGTCTTTCCAATGTAATGTTTGCCGCAGTCCTTGCATGGAATCTTGTATAATACGTTGGTTCTATCCATAGTGGTTAAGGGGTCTTTGGTTCTTGTTCACAGTTGGCGTAGGGTTGATGTAGGTTTGTGTGCTACTCTGATGCCCAGTGGCTGTAGGAGTATTGTGATCAGTTCAGATACATTCTTGATGTACAGTAACATGACAAGTGTTTCGGGGATGTACTGTATTTTCCTGTTGTTGTTTGTGTGACAGGCATCGTCGAACCCAGCTGTTCAAGTATCCATTGTCTCTAAATACTTGGTGGAGGTATTCTTCTCCATTTTGGCATAGTTCTGGGCTGCTGCAGTGTGTTGTGGCTCGTTTGAACAGTGTTTTTACGCAACTCCTTTTGTGGGTGTTGTGGGTGTTACAGTTGAAATTTAGGACTTGATCCGTGTGTGTGGCCTTTCTGTATATTTTGGTTAGCAATTCCCCGTAGGCCCTGCATTCTACCATCACGTCCAGGAATGGGAGCTGTTTGTTCTTTTAGTCTTCTCTGGTGAATTTGATGCCGGTGAAAATGTTGTTTATGAGTTGGTGTGTTTCTTCTAGTTTAGTCTGTTTGATGATTTGTGTGCTCTGTTCGAGTCTCTTTAGTGTGTAGATGATTTTATTTCCCTGTTGCGGTGTCAGGTCTGTTTCCACTTGTCAGTATGTATTTTGTGTCTGCTAGTAGCATCTGTGCTTTAGAGAATAAATCAGGAAATAGCGAGGGCATGTAACAAAGGTAGTACATTATTCATGGATGACCTTAATCTTCACGCAGATTGGAATAGTCAGATTGGCAGAGATAGCTATGAGGAAGAAATCTTAAAGTTTATTCAGGAATGTTTCTTGAAATAATATGTTGTGGATCCTGCTATTTTGAATCTGGTGATGCGTAATGAGGCAGGCTTAATAAATGGTGGCAGAGTAAAAGATTCCTGAGGAAACTGGTGACTATAACATGGTAGAATTTAGCACTCAATTTGAGAGTGAGAAACCTGAGTTGGAAACAACAGTGCTAAGCTTAAATAAAGATAATTACAAAGGACTTACAAAGGCAGAACTGGCTCGAGTGGATCAGGAAAGGAGTTTAGCAGCAAAGGTGGTTGAAAAACAATGGCACCCACTTCAGAAAATAGTCAATGGCTCACAACAAAGATATATCCCAGTGAGGAAACAAAGGACTCTAGGAAGGGGTTAAGCCAACCATAGTTAACCAGGGAAATTTAAAAGAGCATCAAATTGAAAGAAAAAGCATACGATATGTCAAGGAGTAGGAAAGTAGTAATCCAAAGAGTAGGAAAGTTCTAAAAAGTAAAAAACAACCAAAAAAAAGATAAATTTTGAGGGTAAACTTGCAAGTAATATTAATACGGACAACCAAGAGCTTCTTTAATTATATAAAAAGGAAGAGAGAACCCAAATTGAACATAAAGAATGAGGCTGGGGAAAGAATAATGGGGAACCAGGAAATGGCAGAGGAGTCGAATAAATACTTTGCATCAGTCTTCACAGTAGGAGACACTAATAACATTCCAAAATTACTGAGTAATTAAGGAGCAGAGGAAGAGAGGAAGTAAATACAATAATTATCACTAGAGAACAAGTACTGTGGAAACTAATTAGGGTAAAGACCGATACGTCCCTTGACTTGATAGCTGTATCCTAGACTATTAGAGGAAGTATCGAAGAGATAGTGGTTGCACTAGTAATATCTAATTTCCTTAGCTACTGGAAAAGTCCTAGAGGATTGAAAAACCAATAATGTAACATCTTTATTTATAAAGGGAAGGAGATATAAAGCAGGTAAGTATAGGCCAGTTAGTTTAACGTCTGTTATTGGAAAAATGTTAGGGTCTGTTATCACAGATGTAGTAGCACAGCATTTAGAAAAACATAATATGATGAAGCAGAATCAGTGTGGCGTCATGACTGTATGCCTAACAAATTTTGTTAGAATTCTTTAAGAAGATAACAAACCGGTTTGATAAAGGGGCAGCAATAGATGTAATTTTTTTTTTTTTTTTGCTTTTCAGAAGGCATTTGATAAGGTACCACATGTTAGGCTACTTCACACAATAAGACCCTATGGTGTTGGTGGTAGTATATTGACATAGATAGAGAATCGGCTAACTAATAGAAGGCAGAGTTGGGATAAGGGAGCATTTTCAAAAAGCAACCAGTAACTGGTGGAGTTTCACAGGAATCAATGCCAGGGCCACAATTATTTTCAATATATGTTAATGACTTGGATCTGGAACTGAATGTAAAAGTTTGTAGATGACATAAAAGTAGATGGGAAGCAAAGTGGTGAGGATGGCACAAAAAGTCTGCAGAGGGATATAGACAGATTAAGCAAGTGGAAAAGTCTTAGCAGCTGGAAAATAATATTGGAAATATGAAGTTATGCACTTTAGCAGGTGTCGAACATTATTCAAATGGAGAAAAACTGCAGAAAGCCACAACACGAGGTAATAAGGAAGGGAAATGGAATGTTGGCCTTTATTTCGGAGGGAATAATGTATGAAAGAGAAATTTTGCAAAAATTATACAAGGTACTAATCGGACCACAGCTGGAATACTGTGAATAATTTGGGCCCTTTTCTAAGAAAAGGTATACTGGCACTGAAGGCAGTCCAGAGGAGGCTCATTAGATTGATACTGGGTATGGAAGGACTATCTTATGAGGAGAGGTTGAGTGGGTTGAGCCTGTATTTATTGGAATTTAGAAGAATGAGAGACAACCTCATTGAATATACAAGATTCTTAGAGGACTTGGCAGGGTAGATATGGAAATGTTGTTTCCCCTTTTGGGAGAGTCTAAGACCAGAGGACATAATCTCAGAATAAGTAATCAAACATTTAAGACAAGGATCAAAAAGAATTTCTTCTGTCAGAGGGTTGTGAATCTGTGGAATTCCTTATCACAGGTGACTGTCAAGGCTGGGTTGTTAAGTACGTTTAAGGATGAGATAGACAAAGTTTTAATCAAAGAGGGAATCACAGCCTATAGGGAAATGCAGAAAAATTGGGTTGAAGATGATCAGTTCAGCCAAGATCTCATTGAATGGCGGAGCAGTCTCGATGAGGTAAATGAGCTACTTCTCCGATGTCTTATGGTCTTATGTGCCAGTCATGTGTTGGCAAACCAGTCAGAGTTCTGGGATACCACTGAGCTACATAAAGGTAACAACAAGCAGATAAGGAGTAACTTTTAGTAGCCAAGCACACAACAAGAAGTAAAAAAAGAAAATAAACTTCTGTCAATGGAGCAAGAGACAAGCACCCAGTCAACCAGACATTGTGAGCTGGTGTCCCAGAGTGGACTGATTTCACTGCCTGTCTTATGGTTGGTTCTCCCTACTCTGTTTATCATTGTAATTGACTTAAGTCTTACAATTAATGATAATTGAATACTTTATGACTTGCAAGTTTGCTGATGGTGCAAGGTAAACTGTGAGAAGGACACAAAGAGGCAGTAAAATATAAACAAGTTAAGTGAGTGCGCAGTAGAGTGACAGATGGAGATCAATATTGGCAAATGGAATGTTATTCACTTTGGTAGTAAAAATGGAAAAGTAGCACATTTTTAAAAGGTATGGAAGTGTTAAAATTGATGTTTAGAGATATTTAGGCATACTCACACAAGGAATGTAAAGTTAGCATGCAAGTAAAGCAAGAAATGAGGAAGGCAAGTGGTATGTTGACCATTATTGCAAGGAGATCTGAGCACAAGAATGAAATCTTGCTAAATTGTACAGGATTTTGGTGAACTGTGTGCCATTTTGGTCTCCACATTTAATAGAAGGTATTCTTGCTTTGGACACAGTTGAACAAAGGATCACTAAATTGCTTCCTGGGGTGAGAGGGTGTCCTGTGAAGAGAGGCCAATTAAATGACCTATACTCTGTGAAGTTCAAAATATATGAGAGGTGATTGCATTGAATCATACATTTCAGGAAGAAATTAACAAGGTAGGTATTTCTCCTTGCTGAGGATTCTAAAGCATGGGCTTACGGTCTGGATGAAGAGTGAACATTTAATTAGACTGAGATTTGGAGAAATCTATTTAACTGAAAGGGTTTTGAATCTTTGGAATTGCCTACCTCAAAGGTTTGTGGATGTTCTGTATTTGAGTATATTTCAGGCTGTGGTAGACAAATACTTTGTTTCTCAGGAAATCAAAGAATATGAAGAGTAGGTGGCAAAACAAAATTGAGGCAGAAGATCAATAATTAGTATAATATATGACAGAGCCTTCTTGAGGGCTTGTTTTGTTTACTCCTGCTGCTATTTGCTATGTGTTTAAATATTTTCTTCATGTTTGTGGAGCAGGTCTGGATGTGTGGAGGAGAAATTGAGATTATCCCATGTTCAAGAGTGGGCCATATTTTCCGTGATGGCAATCCATACTCATTTCCAAAAAACAGAATTAAGACAGTAGAGCGGAATCTGGCCCGTGTAGCAGAAGTTTGGCTGGATGAATACGTTGATGTTTTCTATGGTCATGGTTACCACCACCTTCTTAACGCAAATAATATTGAATTTAATATTGGAGACTTAAGGAAACAGAAGGAACTCCGGAAAAAACTCCAATGTGAGAGCTTTAAGTGGTACTTAGAAAATGTCTACCCTGATTTACGGACATCATTAGTGAGAAGTGATGGCTTGGTAAGTTCTTACAGAGGGGCATTGTTTTTGAGGTAAAATCAGGAAAGGGAACCTGGGAATTTAATGGCAATTTTCTGTGAATTTAAAAAGGTAATCTTAAAATATGTGAAAGTTATCAATCACAGTGCTTAGGATCTGGAATGCACTGCCTGAGAATGTGGTGGTTGCTGGTTTAATCGTGGCTTTTGAAAGACATTTGGACAATTGTAGGAGAAATTTTGTGGGCATCAGGAAATAGATGGGGAAATGTGAATTGGTGAGTAATTGTTGCTGAGAACTAGCATGGATGCAATGCACTATATGGCCTCCTGTTCCATAACCAAGCTATGATTTTGTAGTTGCTATAGAAAATGTGTTTATTGTTATACACAGAATAATGGTCAGTTTAATACATTGTTGCCTTCTAATGCCCCCAACAAAGCCATATTAAGGCAAATAAAGTTTTCAGTGATATTAGTTATGGCACAGTACCATTCGATATACATTGTGATAATATTTCCTGTAATTGTGAAATATTTCCTGTATTTGTTACATCATGAATTAAGCTCAGGAAATGCAGTATCTGTGTTTCTGAAATTTTCTACTATCAATCCTTATTTCTATTCTCTGTTTCAAACAATTGAAACTACCGATGTGACACTCTACTCTAAGATATTAGTGTAAAGAACTGTTAACAAATTTGTGTAAAGAAAAATGCCTTAAGTTTTCATCTTCTGGCAGTAAAGCAGGTCACCACAGTAGCTTTAGATTGATAATTTCAAAATAGCTGTCAGCATATTGATTGTTTAATATTTTCTCAGCAGCATTTAATAAAATATAACCTGTTCCTATGTGAAATAATGATTGTTATCAATTTCTAGCTTTTTAATGTTGGAACAAGAAAATGTCTTGCTGTTGGAAATGGCACATTTTCATTTGAACTGTGTGACATTAGTAAAAAGGTAAGACAACAACTATGTTACACTGAAGCCAAGTTGATCAATCGCCCTGATTTTCTCAAGCACAAAATTACAATGTAAATCTTATTGCTGTTTTTCTGCCATTTTTCTCTTTGCTCCCACTTTGGTCCAGAACTTGATATAAACCACCAAGGCTTCGAGAAACACAAGAACCCAATTAAAATTGCAATTTAGAGTCCTACGATGTACATAGAAGCCCAATAAAATTCTGATATGCAAATCTGTGGGGCCAAAATTGTGAGAAATTCATGCAAAACAGCACAATGGAACATAGCCAACTTAGCAAAAAAAAACCACAAATCAGAGATCATTGGCAGCCGTTGATAATGTAAATACTGCTTGCATTTTTAGTGTTTATGGCAAGCATAATAATATTGCACCTTTTATTGCCCTCATGCCAATCAGTCTAGAATTTCAATAGTTCAACTCCATAAAAGGGCTGCCAATTTTTCTACCCTTTCTGCTGGCAAATTATTGATCAGCTCTGGAAAAGCAGACACATCTCATGCTGTTAAATTTAAATTTTGTCTCATCACCTTTTCTCACTGGTGATCACTGACATATGTCCTGTTCTTTTTGCATGTTGTCTGCCTGAGCTATCCTCTACCTCAAAATAGTTTCCATAGATGATTATTTACTGTATTATCCCAGTTCTAATTATGGAAAGCTGCATCTTTCACCAATAATTTTTTATATATAATATATTGTGCTAAGGCAGTGCTTCTCATTTTTTTTCTGAATGTGACTCAATTTTATTACTGCAGATTTGGAGAATGACCCCAGAATCAAAATTTGAGGAGGCAGCAGGAAAATTGTTGATTTGGTGGGGTGGAATGGGGGTGGGAGGTGGTCATCACTTGAACATAGCCATGCCCATCTAACTTCAGAAAAATAAGGCAAGAATTTAAACAGACGTCAGAGCCGTTACATGCAGTCCAAGCTTCATGAAACTCAAGGGCCTAAAATCTCATTTTGTGACCCCACTAGAGGTCAAAATCGATAGCTTGGAAGCTTTGTAATTTGGGTTGAAAACTGATTGAAAATACATTAGTGCATTGTGTAGCAGAAATCATGTGGAAAGCAATAGGGAACGGTGTGATGGTTTTGTCACTGGACAAGTATTATAGAGACAAGGCAAATGAGGGAAGAGTTTAAATTCCATTGCAACAATGTTGAAATTTGAATTGAATTGATAAATCTGGAATTAAAAGATATTCTAACAGTAACCATGAAACCATTGTTGATTGTCATAAAAAAGCCAACTAATTCATTAATGTCCTTTAGGTGCGGCATGGTATACTGGCCTCACAGCGCCAGGGACCCGGGTTCAATTCCAACCTCGGACGACTGTCTGCATGGAGTTTGCATATTTTGCCCATGTATGCGTGGGTTTCCTCCCACAGTCCAAAGATATGCAGGTTAGGCGGATTGGCCATTCTAAATTGCCCATAGTGTCCTGGGATGTGCAGGTTAGGTGGATTAGCCATGGGAAATGCAGGGTTATAGCAATAGAGAAGGGGTGTAGGTCGGGTGGGATGCTTTTCGGAGGGTCGGTGTGGACTCAGTGGGCTGAATGGTTTGCTTCTACACAGTAGGAATTATGTAATTCTATGATTTAGGCAAGAAAAATCCTCAACCTGATTTGACCTAAGTCTGACTCCAGAGTCACAACAATAGTCCCCTTATATTGAAATCCCCCACCATAGGGAAAAGATGCCCGCCATATTTATACCCGCCACAATTTTATAAACCTCTATAAGGTCACCCCTCAACCTCTTATGCTGCAGTGAATTAAGTCCCAGCCTATTCAGCCTCTCCTCATAACTCAAACCTTGTATTCTCAGCAACATCCTGGTGAATCTTTTCTGAGCCTTTCCCAGCTTAATAATATCCTTCCTATAACAGGGCGACGAGAACTGAATAGACTGAGCAAGTTCAAAAAGAAATTTTAAAAATTGAAATCACCAATTAGTGGGATGACTGTTGGAATTGAGTACTTCACCCCTGTGTCTACCTCACCATGGTTGGTACTTAAATTCACTCTGAATTGGCCTAGCAAACCTCTCAGGCTTCTAAGCCAAAAAAGTCTGCTAAAAGGAATTAAAGGAACCCAACATCGATCACAGTTCCAGAAATGACAACGGCACTCAAAGCCCTGGTCAATCCTGCAAGTGTCTGCCTACTAACTTTTGAAGACTTGTGCCAAAGTTGGGAGAGCTGTACCACAACTAGTCAAGTAGCAGCCTGACACAGATTCATACCTTAGAGACAATGTCCAAGACATCACCAAACCCAATCTTAGGTGTGTTTTGTTCCATCAGCAATACTGATTGTCCGGAGGCAGCAGCACAGTGGTACACGTTTGGAAGAATTTTACACTGGGAATCCTCAAAATTGACTCCAGACTCCATGAAGTCATAGAGTCATACAGCACAGAAACAGACCTTTCAGTCCAACCAGCCCATGCCGACCATAATCCCAAACTAAACTAGTCCTGCTTGCCTGCGCTTGGCCCATATCCCTCCAAACCTTTCTTATTAATGTACTTATCCAGATGTTTTTTAAACATTGTAACTGTATCCTCATCCACCACTTCCTCTGGAACTTCATTCCACACATGAACCAATCTCTGTGTAAAAAATGTTGCCCCTCACGTCATTTTTAAATCTTTTTCCTCTCACCTTAAATTTGCCCCCTTATCTTGAAATCCCCCACTATAGGGAAAAGATGCTCGCTATATTTATACCCGCCACAATTTTATAAACCTCTATAAGGTCACCCCTCAACCTCCTATGCTGCAGTGAATTAAGTCGTAGCCTATTCAGCCTCTCCTCATAACTCAAACCTTGTATTCTCAGCAACATCCTGGTGAATCTTTTCTGAGCCTTTCCCAGCTTAATAATATCCTTCCTATAACAGGGCGACGAGAACTGAATAGACTGAGCAAGTTCAGAAAGAAATTTTAAAAGTTGAAATCACCAATTAGTGGGATGACTGTTGGAATTGAGTACTTCACCCCTGTGTCTACCTCACCATGCAATGTGCCTGAGTTAAAAAGGGTTATTGCAAATCAGTCAAGGTTAATCAGAGTACATTTACCCACCTTTCACTGTACAACAATTGTGAAAAATGGGTGTGAGAAACCACAGGGCTGATGGTGAGTGTGAATGTTGACTCCAGATTAGGATGTGTAAATAAAAATGTGCATATAAAATGAGTATATTGCATATTAATTGAGCAAATGATCTCCTCCTCTGTCATTGAGTCACAGAGTTTTACAGCATGGAAACAGACCTTTCAGACCAACTCGTCCATGTCAACCAGATATCCTAAACTGATCTCGTCCTGTTTGCCAGCAATTGGCTCATATCCCTCCAAACCTTTCCTATTCATGTACCCATCCAGAAGTCTTATAACATCTGTTCAAACATGAACAAAGAAACCTCTCGCTCATTATGACCTGCCACCCCCTTAAGTTGATGAATCATCTCCTTTCGTGCATACAACTCTTTGAGGGTGCAATATATCGCAAAGGATACTGAATTTGGGTGGGTGACTTTAATGTCCAGCTTAGCTGCTGCACCACTGACTGAGCTTGACAAGTCATAAAAGACATAGTTGCTTGACTGCGCTTGCTGCAACTGGTGAGGGAACCAGCAAGAGGGAAAAACATACTTGGTCTCATCCCTGCCATTTTGCCTGTAACAGATACATCTGTCCAAGATAGTGTTTGGTAGGAGTGACCATTGCATAGTTCTGTGGAGACGATGTCTGCCTTCGTATTAAGGATACCGTCCATCAAGTTCTGTGGCGCTGCTATCATAGTGACTGGAATTGATTCTAGCAACAACAAACAGATCTAGAAAGGCAATACCGTGTATACATGGGGCTTTGTGGGCACCAGAAAAATTGTATTTAATCACAATCTGCACCCATATGGCCAGCATATCCCCAACTCTACCATTCCCAAGCAATCCAGGGAATCAAACCTAGTTTAATGAAGAGTAGAGGACAGTATGCCAGGAGCAGTACCAGGCATACCTATAAGTTTGACATCAACCTGGTGAAGTTATAACACCAGACTACTTGCATTCCTAATTACTCTCAGTTCTAAGGAAAGATCACTGGACTCAAAGTGTTAACTTAGCAGGTTTGGCAGCATATGTGGAGAGAAAGCAAAGTATCTCCAGCAATTTCTATTTGTGTTCTATCTTTATCTGGTCTCTCCCTGTGATTGAATTTTCTCAAATGTTTTGTGAGGGCAAAGGCGCCTACCATTCCTATGTGTTCTGAGTCCTGAGGCTGTGTTCCTCAAATTTTTGGTTGAAGGATTTCTTTTCAAATGGATTAATCATCATGCACCCCAATCTAAATTGTCATATGTAAGTGCAACATGTAAAGTGTGTTTTAATGATCCTTTTAAGAGAATGGATATTACAGACACTGATGAGATGGGTGTGCCTGTTTCTTAGTGTAGTACCTATCTTTGGCAATGGTGCAAGGAGAGCATGAGCCCCACGAATGTATAACATAGAGAACAGGAGCTGAGGGAAAGAACAGAAGCCCATGATGACCAGAACATAGTGAAAGCACAGTCCAGTGAGTGCACTAGACTTGCAGGAAGTATGCATGAATACAGGGAGAGTAAAGCAGGGATCCAATTACTACTCACTGACGTATTCCTGTTTACGGCAGCCTGAGCAGTTTCCTGTACCTGCGTGTTATCCGTACACAATAGAGAACGTGGAAGGTCCTTGTGGGATCCTTAATTGAGAACCACTGAATTAGAAGAAAAAGAGAACACCCTCAGTTTATTGAATAGACCACTTTTTCAGTGGTGCTTCATTTGCCAGTGGGCTTTTGGCAATGACAAAAAATGGACGGTCACAGATCAGTGCTCTGTCTAATTTTTCGTTTCCACTGACTACAACCATTGCCACAGTAAAATGTTAAGAACACAAGTTTGGAATGGAAAAAGCCTGAATGGTTACTTATGCCAGTATGTCCCATAATGACCTCTGCAGTGTATTTCTGGGGGAATCTCTAATTTGGAGGTATTTAAGTGAAGCCCTAGAGTATGTGTCCATCTCCATAGGTACACTGTTCACAACCTAACCTGCTGCCTTCCAGAGATGTTCACCTTCCCCTCCCTCCAGTTCTAGCAACAATGGTATGATTCTGTGTTTTGAATCAGATGCAGGCATACACTGCTTCATTATGATAGTGAAATAAATGATAACTGGGCACTTCTATCAATACTTTAAAGCTGTATTCTAGCATCATTAAGTTTGTTATCAATAGCTTCACGTTGTGCACTTTCCTTGAACTACTGATTAAATCCCCACAATTCTTTTACTTTTCTGGCTCTACTGTTAGGCAGCTGTTCATTATTTACACGTGCACTTTCCTATTCCACTAGGATTTATTTCACTGTGATCTTCACTAAAGTTCATCTTTCTTTCATTACATCATCTTTGGAGTTGAAATAGCATGATTTTTTCCTCTCTTTTGGGAAAAGAAAGAGTGCACCATTTTTTTCTGGTTGGAGGTGTGTATTCACCTCATTGCTGTTTAATTGGCAGTGCTGTTTCACTGCATCCAGCATAACTCAACTACCAGAAAGCGTCTTTGAATGGTATTCAGTGGGGAAGTATGAAAAGTTGTTCAAAGCAGTACCATTTTCTTCCTTCATTAAAATGTACCTACTTATAAGGTCTTGTCATGTCCAGGATGAATCATTCTTCATATTATTCAAGAAGATTGGCTGAAATATTTCTTGCCCAAATATTTGAAATACTTATTTTCTTCACAGAATCAACATTTTAGTCATTCATGGTTAAGACTAATTAAACAGATGGATATGTGCATTGCTGTATTGGATGTGAATCAGGTGTTGGGGATGAAACCCTGTGATAAAAAGAACAATAATTTAAGGTGGCTGCATCGGTCCTTTACAGATGAATCAACATTGGTAAGTGCCAACTTGACTTTGAAGACAGGCTTTTCCACTTCTGAATATCCCCCTCGCATCCCAGTCAGAATTGAAAGTATACAATCTTGTTTATTGTGTGATCTTTTTACTCCAGAACATGTCACAGCAAAAAGAACTTAAAGAACATGAAAATTATTAATTCACCAGCTGAATCCTTCAACTGGGAACATTCTCAGTATTTTTCATTCAGATTATTTTGAAAGTCTGTTTAAATAAATAGTTGCATTCTGCCCTTCTTTTATCTCTGGGAATAGTGAATTCAAGAGTGAGACCTGTTCATATAACATTTTTCAAATAGTGTTAAATTATGTATTTTAGCTTTACACACAATTTGAAATCCATATAGGTAGTTTAATCCACCCTACCAGAAGAAATTTGTTTTTGTAAATCAGCAATACATTAGGCTCTAAACGGCTAGGGTGTGCATTTTGAAATGCAGGACTGGGAGATGATAGAGCAATGTGGAAGCATCACTGAAATAGTGCCTCTTAATGCTCCAGTATTAATTTCACCCTTTCAGATCACATGTTTATTAATAACTTTTAAATGGATCATTTAAAGTGCTTTTATGTACTTCTGGATGTTGTCCTTATAATAAAAATGATCAAAAATGAATTCTAGCTACACTTTAAGTTGTTGTCAGCTGACTTTCAGCATTATATGGCAATATGAAATATCCATTTTTCTGTCATCTGTATTAGTTTTCTGGCTTTATAAATGCAGATAGGCGACTTGTTCGCTAGAAAGGTTGTCATCCTTTTCATGGATTCTGAATGATCCTTCACCAAAGTCCAAAGCATTAAGTATGACCCACCAACATATTTAATTGTTCTATGTCATAGTTTTCAAAGAGGTTTAAGGTTTGTTCAGCATCAATATCAAATAGTGTTTTATTTCTTTAGTCTCTTAGCTTCCTTCATTTCCACCCATTCAACACTGAAGTAAGAACTTTAAGAAAGGAAAGGAGAGGGTTATCATGTTTAAAAATGCAAAAATTGCTTGCTTATAGTATAGTACAGAATTTGTTTCTATGTTGTTAAAAGAATGCTAAATATTACATTATTTTATAGATGGATCATATTCTTTGGGAGATGTCTCAGTTTCCTGTGTGTTTGGAAGGAAATCCATTTGGAAACATCTTGACAATAAATTCCTGTGATCCAGTCAACAGTCACCAAAAATGGAAATTCACCAACTATTATGAAGATTGAAGGAGGTAGCAACAATGATAGTGTCACAAGCATTTTCAAAGCATTGTGATTGAAACTATATATGATCAGATGGATGCCAAGATCAGTGAATATTAAACGAAGGACATCGAGCCATTCTAAATAATGTGCAAATATCTTTTAAAGAGCAAATGTTTCCAGGTGGGATCCTGAAAGAACTGGAACACAGGGGTTGAGTAATACTTGGCTTCAAACAGAGGCAAATAGTTTTCTGCTCTTACAGAAAAGTCAAATCTTATTTTGGTTTGATCTACAAAGGTGGTGTATTTTTCTACCTTGTTTTTTAGAAAACTGTGGAAAATAATTTATTGTAACAAAACAAATGTTAATCTGTGAATTAATGTAATTTGGACACTTTCCCTTTGTTAAGTGCCTTTAAAACTTTTTCTTTCATATTTATATAAAAAAGGGAAGTTTTAATGTTCAAATCCAAAAGACAAAATGACAGGATTTGGTGAGATGATAAGAAATTAATAAAAAATATGCAGTTTTAATTTTAGGCTTTCAAGTTTTTATTTCACTCATTATACCAATTCCACTCATTAGTTTTTTATTAATTACTTTTCTGTGTAATTTTCTGACAACTTAGCTTGTAAACGTTTTCTTTTAACATAAGTTTCAGGTGCCTTTACAGCAGGTTTTCACCAGAATGGTTTGTTGTTCAATTGCAATTCTGTACACCTTGTAGAACCTGTAATTCCAAACTTGTAATCAAATCCATTCCATAAACAGTCTGCAATTAGCAGAATGACAACTGACTGGGGCAATAAAGATAGAAAGTAAAAATATTATAAGTTGCAAGATACTGCGCATGTTGTTCAAGAACAGGTCTACATAAAAATCAACAGAGCAAAGAATTGGATGGATTTCCTTAGGCTGCAAACAGTATGTTACAGTACAGAATGCTACAAAATACATAATTTTGGTATATCATTAAAAGAGGTACCTTTAAACCTAAAAGAGATAACGAGAGAGACAGTGGATGCATTGGTTGTATTTTCCCCAAAATTGTTAGATTCAGGAGAAGTACCAGATGAGTGGCAAACTGCTAATATGACATCCCTAATCAAAACTGGAAAGGAAGCATAAAGCAGGAAACTATAGACCGATTGACCTAACATCTATTATTGGGAAAGTATTGGAATCAATTATTAAGGAAGTTAATATCAGAACATTTGGAAAACCATAATCTAAGCAAGCAGCAACAGCACAGTTTCGTGAAAGGAAAATCGTGTCTGACTAATTTATTAAAGTTTTACAAGGAAATCTCAATCAGGAGTGGATAGAGGGGAACCAGAAGGCATTTGACAAGGTACCTCACAAAATGTTAAGCCATTAGATAAGCACCCACAATGTTGGAGGTAGTGTGTTGGCATGGATAGAGAATTGGCTAAGGAGCAGGAAACAGTGAGTGGCAATAAGGGGTTGTATTTCACATTGGCGACCTGCGACCAATGGCATTCCACAGGGATCAGTTCTGGGACTGCAACTGTTTACAATATCTTTTAATGACTTGGAGGGAGGAAGTGAATGTACTGTAGCCAAATTTGCAGACAACACAAAAATAGGTGGAAAGGCAACTTATGAGAAGGATACAAACAGAGAGAGATACAGATAGTTTAACTAAGTGGTCAAAAAATTGGCAAATAGAGTATAATGTGAGCAAGTACATAGTTGTTCATTTGGGAAGGGAGAACAAAAGAACAGAACATTAGTTAAATGGTGAAAAACTGCAGAAAGCTGTAACATAAAAGGACTTGGGGTTCTTATGCAGGAAACACAGAAAGCTAGCATACAGGTGCAGCAGGTAATCAGGAAGACAATGGAATGCTGCCCTTATTTAAAGGGGCTTAGAATGTAAGAGTAGGGAATTCTGACTGCAATTATATAAGATGCTGGTGAGACTGCATCTGGAGTACTGTGAGCAATTTTGGTCCCCATATGTAAAGAACATGTTATTTCATTGGAGGCAGTTCAGAGAAAGTTCAATTGGATGATCCCTAATATGGAGAGATTGTCTTATGAGAAAAGGCAAAACAAGTAGGGACTGTCATCACTGGAGTTTAGAAGAATGAGAAGTTATCTCATTGAAACGTGGGATTCATGAGGGGCTTGACAGAGTAAATGCTAAGAGGATGTTTCCCATCATGGGAGCATCTACAACCAGAAGGCATTGTCTCAGAATACGGGAGTGTCAATTTCAGACTAAGATAAGGAGGAATTTCCTCTCTTAGAGGATTGTGAATCTGTGGAACACCTCATCACAGAGAGCTTTAGGAACAGAGTCCTTGTTTATATTTAGACTGAGATCGAAAGATTTTAGATCAGTAGGGAATCAAGGGTTATGAGGAAAATTGCAGGAAAGTGGATGTGAAGAATGTCGGTCCAGCCATTATTCTGTTGAATGGCAGACAGGCTTAAGGGGCTGAACAGCCTACTCCTGTTCCTATTTCTTGTAGTCTTATAGATCGTCTGGTGCATTCAGTAGAATCGTTACCTCTGAGCTCAAAGTTCTAATTTCAAGTCCCATTCCAGGACTTGATAGCCAAGGAAGGTGCATTCACAACATAGTCAAACAGCTTGAGTGTCAAATTGCAAATCCTTCTAATGTATGCCAATGGCAGGCAGAGCAGCCAGGGAGATTCCTGGTTAGATAAATGATGGAAAAGAAAATAGATGGTTCTGCTATCATTATTCAGCACTTCAAACAACGACATGTATGTAGTAGCACATGTTGCTACAAAACCACGAGCACCATTCCCATCTCCATTCTAGTGATGACTTCAGGACCATTCCTTCCCCCACCTATAGTGGAGGTTGTGACACTGGGGAAGTACATTATGCAAGGACTAAATAAATACTTGAGCTGTTTCTTGATCTGTAGCAGAAAACTTTAACAGGCATTTTAAATTAATATTTGCTATTGATAATTAAGATACCGATTTTTAAAAAAATATTTTAGAGGAAATTTTCTGCTTCATAATTGTAGCAGAATGTGTAGTTATGTCCTTAATGCTCCAGTTGGTGTCACCATTTCACTTGCAAATACAGCTGTGCTGTTACAAATTAAAATCTAGCAGTAAGAAATATTTGAAAAATAGGGGAAATAAAGGGCTTTTGTGCACATTTATTTCTTTCATTGTAAATAACTCCCAGTCAACTAGAATGATTCATGTGTTTATTCTGCACGATAATTGTTTCACTTATTTTGTTCATGGAAGAAGGCCAAGGCTAGTTGTGGACATAGGAATGTGGTTCATTTTCTCAACTTTGATTGCTAAACAATCTTTTCATAATGTCACATTATAGTTGATACAAAATAATTTAGGAATTATCAGGCAGGTTTTCCCTTCTGTAAAAAAAAAATTCTGTTTAATTTGTAAATAACTTACTAACTTACTAATAAATTATTGTAAATACGTTGGTCATGGTGATTACTGAATGCTTATATATTTTGTGACAGCCGCAGGCTGACACTAATTATCAATGTTTGCGAATCTAATAAGTCAGAGTACTGCATTGTGTTTCTTGTTTTTAGCCATTTTTATCTGGAAAGCTGATGTTAATTAATGGGGAACATTCATTTGATATTTACTAAGCATCTAATGGTTTTATAAAGCCATTAATTTTAGCACAGTTTAATGTCTTAAGTCCCTTAATTTTAAATATATTCTTACTTCGCCATTTTCCAAACAAGATTTATACAATAGCCTACTTTTAGACCTTTTTTTATAGCCTCTGACAGCTTCATGAAGAGTTGTGTGCAACTTGGGATGACTCTCGTTCCAAATCTCAGACAAGCCATCAAGAGACATAATGAACAGGTAGAGCCTTCTCTCACTAACATGAACAAAATTGGAAAATCCTAATGTGGGAATTGTGAGCACCAACATATGTTGCAGTGTTCAGTGGTACTATGCTTCGGAGTGCTGGCCCACTTCACACTTCTAACAGCTGGCTGAATATTTCACACAAAAACATCGCTGATCACCAACAAATATATTTAGTTTTTACCATTGAGATGAATGGAAGCAGGAAGTAAAAAGTGCATATTCTGAACTGTATATTTAAATTCTTTATAATGATAAATTTGGATTTTAAAAACCGGTACCTCTGACTGCCAGTATATCTACTAAACTGTTTTACCTGACAATTCCAAGTAAGTTTAGGAAATGCTAAATAAAATTAAGATTATTGTCTATGTTAATAGAATTATATGACATATGCATATTAATTTGATACAGTACTCTATAACTTGCAAAATTGTGACACATGAAAATGTAGAAAACAAAAAAGTACTTTAGTAGGAAAGTAAAATTAAACAATAAACAGCAGAATTATGCAGCAGATGTATTTAGAATGATGCGCAACATGATTTGCTTTATTTCAACTAGAGCTTTGAAGTTCAATGGACAATTTATAAAGGACTCCAGGATTTACTCTAACATGTCAAGTTGGCTTAGCACTGTTATCGTTGAGCAAGACTAAAGATCTCCTTATGCCCCTTCAGGATTTGAGTCTAATCTATACTGGCAATTTTAGTTTACTAATTGCTTTCATGTCCTTGTGCTCATTTTATATGAGATTATTATACCTTTACAGATAAATATCCTATCATTCTATTCGACAAACATTGAGCTCTCCTGATACCTTGGCCAGTATTCCTTCAAAACAGATGAAAAGTCTCACACCTGAAATTTTAACTGTTTCTTTCTCCAAGATGCTGCCAGACATGCTGTATATTCCATGGCGTTTATGTATTTATTGCAGATATCCAGTGGCTGCAGTATTTGTTTTTACACAATTTAATCTAGGTTATTTCTTCTAAAATTGACAATGCTAGGTTTAATGTGAAATTAGAATGCCAGGAACACGCCATACATCAACACATATAATTCCATAAAATTGTTTTTGAAATGCTTTACTGGCATTTTTAATGCTCAATGTTGAAACTACTGTTGCTTAATTGGGGTGATCTGATGAAAATGGTCTCGTTAATATTGGCACTCTACAAAAAGAAGCATACATTAAAAATCTTCTACAGTATGCTTCAAGGGACAAAAATTATTTGTAGATCAATTCTTCCAATACAGTCTTTTGTAATGTGTGTTACGATAAATTTTTGGTTATGTGATGTTCAGCATGATATTCCCATTCTACCCTGGACATGAGTTTCATGAAGACAAAAACTATAGAATCCACTTGCCTTTGTGACATCCTTCTTCTTCGCTCCTCATAGGAAAATATTTAAACTTAATTGCCCAAAAAGGTGTTCATTCAGTGGTGTAACTAGAGGAATATTAAATTGTTAATTTTCATGATTATAACATTTCCAGATTTATCTTCTACTTGGAAGGAGGAGACATTTGTCACATTGTATTTTTTTTCCATGTTACTCAGTT